CGTGCGTGCGTGCGTGCGTGCGTGCGTGCGTGCATGCGTTATTTATATATACATCATATATATATTAGCTGTTATAAATATAACCAAGATGTACGGACAGCAAAGATAATAATATAACCAAGATGTAGGTATAGGGACGGCCTACTTCAGGACGAGGGACGGATTGATGTATTGAGTAAAATATGATATTGGTGTTTTATTTGATATTTGTGTTGAGTCATGTACTGAACCGTTATTTATACTATACGAACGGTTACGTAACTGAATGATATTCGTAATATACTGGCGCCAGTCACCATACCCTATGAATAGGGTTAGTTTGATATGTTTCTTTTACTTTGCACAATATATTGTATAAGCTGTATATTTCGCGGTGGTTTAATTTTCGCTAATTTCGCGAACGCGTCCCCGGCGCGAAAATAACAACACTCGAATAATTCATAGTTCATACGGAATAATACGGAATAATTCATAATTCACCGACCGCGAAATTCACCACTCGCGAAATTGTCCGTCAAGTCAGAATTCGCGAAAACATCTGTACGCGAAAAATATGGCGTATACAGTAGTATGATTTATGTCGTAACGAAAGCTCTCGTCGTGGCGTTTGTCTCTTGTGTTCGTTCCTGGCTTTGAGCCATTTACCTGGGAAATAAAACCCTATGGGAATTAGATCACAATGTGAAATTATAAATAACTCAGAGTTTCACATTCTGATCTAATTCCCATAGGGTTTTATTTCCCAGGTAACCACTCAAGGTAATCACGAGTGCAGTTCAATAGGTGATATTCTATAAATAGAATATCACCTATCGAACTGCACTCGTGTAACTTAAATAATATTATATAAATAAAAATGAAAGATTTAAGGAAGTAATGCTACACTTGCGTACATACAGAATAGACTGCTATAGGACATCTATGCTGGAATATTGAAGTATTTGCAGGCACATTCTTGACAGGTCTTGCTTTGCAGGTTGTTTTTTGAGGTTGTTAAAATGTATAGATCTAACAATGCTATAAAATCACATATCTGTATGCATTCAGTTTATGGAATAACATAATGAAGAAGCGTACATGCCAGGCATGCAGTTCAGTTTCTGTGAATCAATGTTTAGTTAGGTAGCTAGTCCGCTGAAATGCGGCATATATTAATTATTCGTTGGCTGTTGTATTCATACAGATGCGGCATACGGAGTGATAGTGATCTAGCTTGTCATGTAAAATATTGATCACCTGCATTTTGTATCACGTCGTACACTAGATGGTTAGACGAATGTAAAAGAATTGGCACCTACCCGCCCGTAAATCGGCACTTCCCAGTTTTTTTTCTGGCCCTGTGCAGTTTATGATATGTGGTCATAGACTGCTAGATGCAAGGGCACCTTGGAAGCACATTGTGAAATTTCGTTGTGATATATCTGACGATTTATCGTCTTAATTTTCACATATGGATAAGTTTACGTAGTACTTCTTCCGTCATGGCCAGAGTAATATCATAACCATCTACTTCCGCTCATGCCAATCGTTTCTGTAATGGCACGACAGGGTGCTGTAAATGGAATAGCTGCATGACTGCTGTACTTCGTCGCGCATATCACGTTGTGCTTAGCGGCTGTGGGTTAATTATGTAGTTTTACATGCGCGTGCGCGTGTGTACACACACACGCGCGCACGCGCGCACAAACGCACGCACGTACGCGCACACACGCACGGACGCACGCACAAACGCACGCACAAACGCACAAACGCACGCACGTATGCACACAAACGCACGCACGCACGTACGCACACACGCACAAACGCACACACAAACGCACGCACGCATGCACGCACGCACGCACGCACGCACGCACACTAGCACGCACGCAC